TTTTAATATTACAAGTGAAATTAGAAAATACTGATATGAATTAAAGCAAATGTACATTATACCAAACCTACAGTTTGCAGCTAAAGTAGGGGTTAAGGGCAGGGGGAGGGTGACTGTTAAAGGGTGGCTGTTGGAGTTTTTGGGTAACTGAGCTATTTGGCATCTTGATTGTGGTGGTGGTGGTTATGCAAATCTACTCATGTGGTATATTCATAGAACAGTGAGCACACACAGAATTTACTTTTATGCATGCTGACATAAAAATAAAACCTAGAGGCTAAGAGCAACATTTGTATAGATGATTGTTTTTATGCACTTTAAAACATAGCCATTCACAAGATCCTCCTTATAGAAGAACTCCTTAAAGCTCCCAATACCAGTTGTACATTTTCTTCAGTTATACAAATAAAATATTTGGCTTAGTTATAGAACAACAACAACAACAACAACAACAAAAAACCAATAGGATGCTTAACTGCTACTTCTAAACAACTTGTACAGGAGGTCCAAAAATAATTGAAGACATAAGGATTGTAAAGAAGGAAATAAAAACATCATTCTTTATAAGTTAGGGAGAGGGAGACCAAGAGCTAGGGAGGGAACAGATCTTACCCCAGACGCCACCACAGTGCAGATGTCTGAGGCTGACCTGAGCCAAGAAGGCAGAGGATTTTTAAGTGAACTATGCAGCTCTAATGTTAAACAGGATTACAAAGTGCCTCACTCTCTAAAGAAGAGACTATTGTTTAGTACCGAAAGTGACTAAGCTATGAGAATTCCCACAAATGCCAGGAATATTGAAAACACTAGATGTTGTAGAAAACAAAAAAAGAAAGAGAAACCTGCTTTCAGATGGCACCATAAGAAGACAAGTTAATTCAGTAGGCTGAGGAGATGTTCACTCTGCCGAGGCCAGGACAGCACCGCCACGTCCCTGCCTGGTCCCTTCGCCCACCCCACGTCCACTCCTGCCAGAGGACAGAATGTTCAGGGACAGTCCCAACTCAAAGTAAACAAAAGGACACCCTCCCTGCCCCCCTGGAATCTGCAGTCCAGGACGGCATCGATGGGAAGGCCATGTGCAGAGCTTAGAGACGAGTGCACTCGTTTTCCCATTAAAATGGACTCTGTGAAAGAAAAGGGTGAGTGCATCTGGCAGGCGTGAGTGGACAAGGGGAAATGACAGGACCCAAGGAGATGAACTTGGCCATGAGTCTGGGAGGGAGGCTGGGGAGCGCTGGAGCAGGGGGCCCCTAGCTGCAGTCAGACTGGCAGGGCGTCAAGCTCATTGGTCTGCACAGATGAAAGGCAACTGGCTTTTGCTGTGAACTCGATTACTTGCATTAGCTGTACGAGATTTTCTTCTTGAATAATTCTGTACCTTGCTGAGCATCTGAAATACAGTTTCGTGTAACTATGTTTATTTTACCACGGTGCGAATTTGTGCTTTACAATGGGGAACTATGTCTGTTCAGGCATTAGTTTTGTCATTAAAAATTAATATCAACAAAGAGAAATACATAATGTCATTAATTTATTTATGAGCCACTTCCTTAGTTATCCTTAACTGGCTTCTTTCTCCCCTGCTCACTGTTTCAGTGCCAAAATCATCTAGGAGATTCTAAAAAGTGCATATTGATTTAGGAAGTCAACTTGGGGCAGCTTTTCCTACCCTTCATAAAAGGCTCGTTAGTGGGTAGAGAATATAACTAGTGATAGGACAGATAGGAAGTCTTAGGAGGAGGGATGAAGCTCCTTTGCCCGTGCCTTCTGTTCCCTGGGGAAGTGTGTGCCGAAGCACGGCCATCACAAATGCTCCCCAACTTCTCCTGAAGCACGTTTGTCTCCCTTCATCTTGTGGGGTTCACTGTCTGTGGGGTAAAGTGTTCTGAAGGACTCTCTTGAGCAGAGTTTGGAGGTTGGTGGGTGAGGGGGGCTGGTGGGGTCCCTCCCACTGACATGGGAGGCCTGTGCCACACATAGCGGGATGAGAGTCAGGAAGGAGGCGACCTCCGGAAGTCAGTCTCTCTCTCTCTCTCTCTCTCTCTCTCTCTCACATACACACACACACACACACACACACACACACACACACACCCTGGGGAGGTGGTGGAAAGTGTTAGAGTGGGGAGGGAAGAGAGCAGCCTGGAGAATGAGAGGAGGTGGTCCTGGAGGTGGGTCCTGCAGGAAGAGCAAGGCCACAGGAACCAGCAGGGACCAAGGGTACCATAGTGACAGAGTCTGATGGACAGATGGTGACCAGGAAGACTGGCAGGCTTGGGATAGCACTGGCTGGGAGTAGCTCACAGGGCAAAGACCATCACTTCCTGTTCTAAGACGAGCTCGTGGCCTGAGGCAGGCAGGGCTAGAGGAGGCCCAGAGGCCCTGGTGGAGTCTGTAGAGATCAGGCAGGAGCTGAGCAAAGGAGGGAGGGAAGGCCCGAGAGGCCCAGGGAAGACCTCTTGTACTTCAGAACACTGAGTGATGGTGGTCTCTTCCATAACTACGTCAAATAGTTCTCAGCCATAAATTAAGCAGGTGAAAAAGGTCTAACCAAGTTAGCGTTCTCATGTTACGTCATTGCTTTTCATGAAATATTCAAAATCAAAGTACTTTCAACAAACACTTGGTTTGTGCTGTCCTTGGGTCCTTACAATGCCCGCTGAGACTCCACTCAACATTGTGTGTCATCRAGGAAGTTCCAGCTAGAACAAGATACCACCCAGAGTACATCCACTGGAGTGGCCAAAAGCCAGGACACTGAAAACACAGAATTCTGGTGAGGATGTGCAGCAGGAGGGACCCTCATTCATGGCTCTTTGGAATGCAAAATGGTGCATTCACTTTGGAAGGCCTTTGGTAGTCTCTTTAGAAACGAATCCTAGTTTTACCATATGACCTAGTAGTCCCATTTGTGGTTATCTACCCAAATGAGCTGAAAACTCAGCACGTACACAGAGGTTCATGGCAACTTTATTCATAACTGAATGGATAAACGAATACATGAAAAATTATAATATTTATTCAGTGCTAAAAGAAATGAGATTTCAAGCCATGAATAGACATAGAGGAACCTGAACTGCATATTGCTAAGTGAAAGAAACTGTCTGAAATGGCTACATATTATTCGATTCTACAATAAAAGACCAGTGGCTGCCCGAGGTCATGGGGGAGGGGGCCTGGAGGATGTTAGAGCAGTGAGACCACCCTGTCTCTGTCTACTCCACATCTACAATGGTGGGTTCTTGTCACTAGATATTTGCTGACACTCACAGGCTACAAACACCCACAGTGCAGCTTCCTTCAAGCTAGGGACTTTGGACGAACTCAAGGTGTCTGTGGAGGTTCACTGATTGTACCCTCCCTGGGATGCTGATAATGGGGTAGGTGGGTGAGAAATCCCTGTATCTTCCTCTCAATTTTACTGTGAACATAAAACTTCCTTTAAAAACTGTGTTTTAAAAATTTTTACTTATTTTTAAGCTTTTACTGGTGTGTGACAATCATACATAACAGTTGACTTCATTGTGGTATGTCTCCACATGCACCTAGAATTTGGTCCGTTCCATCCCTGGTCCTCAGGGTTCCCTCCCCTCACCTCCCCTATCCTGTCCCCCTGCTCTACTCTTCTTTTTTATGAGGCTCCCCCACCATTTTTTTCTTATTTGTGTTCCTACCTTCCACATATGAGAGAAAACACATGACCCTTGATTTTCTGAGGACTTATTTTGYTTAACACAATGCTCTCAAGTTCTGTCCATTTTCCTACAAATGACATAATTTCCTTCTACTTTATGGTTGGATAAAACTCCATGRTGTCTATACACCATATTTTCTTTATGCATTCATCTCTCAACGGACACCAAGACCGGTTCCATAACTTGGCTGTGGACACGGGCATGCGTGCATCTCACTGGCTTTAAGTCTTTGGAGTGGTTTAGTTGGATCATCTGAGGGTCCATTTCTAGTCTTTGAGGAGACTCCATACTAATTTTCATAGTGGTTGTACTAATTTACAATCCCATCAACAGTGTAAAAGTGTTCATTTTCCCTCTCATTCTCTCCAAAATTTATTATTATTTGTATTCTTGATGATTGCCATTTTGAGGTGAGATGAAATATTACTGTAATTTTGATTTTCATTTTCCTGATTGCTAAAGATCTTGAATTTTTTCATATATTCGTTTGTCATTTGTAGTCATTCTTTACAGAAGCGTGTATTTACTTCATTTGCCCATTTCTTGATCTGGGTATTTGTGGGCTTTTTATTTTGAGTTAAGTTTTTTGAGTTCTTTATATATTCTGGATATTAATTCTTTTCAGAAGAGTAGCTGGCAAAGATTTTCTCGCCTTCGGTAGGTTCTCTCTTCACATTCTTAATTRTTTCCTTTCCTGCACAGAAGCTTTTTAATCTGATGCCACCCCATTCACTAACTCTTGGCATTACTTCCTGCTATAGGGGTCCTACCGAGGAAGTCATTGTCTGTGCCCATATGCTGGAGTGTTGGCCCTCTGTTTTCTTCTGGCAATGGCAAAGTTTCTGCTCTAATTCTTAGGTCTTTGATTCATTTTGAGTTGACTTTTGTGCAGGGCAAGTTTCATTCTCCTACACSTGGGTGTTTAGTTTTCCCAGCACCATTTTTTAAGAAGGCTTTTATTCCCCAAGGTGGTTTTATCAGACGACTGTATCTGGGTGGGTCTGTCTCTGTCTTGGTCTATGTGTCTGCTTCTATGACAGTACTACGCTGGTTTTGTTCCACAGTTCTGTAGTATAATTTAAAATCGTGCATCGAGGGGCCTCCAGCACTGTTCTTTTTCGTTTAATATTGCTTTGGTTATTCTGGTCTTTTATTCTTCCACATTAGTTTTAATTCTGTTCTTTCTAGTTCTGTGAAGAATTTCATTGGTATTTTGATGGGGATGGCAGTGATTCTGTAAGTCACCTTTGTTAATATGGAACATATTCTTCAACTTATTTCTCAGTGTTCTATAATTTTCACAAATATATGGAACACTTCAAGGATTGGAATGTCTTCCTTGCACAGGACCCATGCTGACTTTCCTGTGTCATTCTGGTTTTAGTGTATGTGCTGCCCAGTCCAGCACAACATTTTTTTACTTTTAAAAACTGCAGTGTTGGTAACTTCTATACAAACAGAGATATGATAAATTGTGGTATAAAGGTGTATTAAGAATTGTAATGCAAAAAAATCAATAAGAGAGCTCATGTATAATGTCATAATTTACCGTGAACAGACTTTATATACAGTTAAGAAAAATTGTGCTGTGAATGGATAAYTATGAATGTAATACATTCCGCTATTGTCATGTGTGAAAGAAAGAAATTTTTAAAAAAAGAATATTTCTAAGTTAAAAATTAATGGTGTTAGACCTGAGGCTGTAGCTCAAAAACAAACAAACAAACAGACCAAAACGAACAAACAAACAAAAAACCTGAAGTTTTGGGTTGTGACAGTGGGATGGGACCAGAATTACCCAAGATTTCTGAGCTAGGAAGTGACTGGGTGGCTTATGACGTCACTGGCAGGTGTCAGGGCTCTTAGGAGTGTGCTGGAGCCGAGCAGGTGGAAGAGCTGAGCACAGAAAGGCCAGGAGACCCTTGTGGAGAGGGCTCTAGGTGGCACAGACTCTCCTGTCTAAAACAGTGTTTTTACTGATGAAGCCCACCCCGTCTTTCAAGGGTACTTGGAGAGCTTAATGGGGTGCAGATGCTGGCAACCTGACACATGGTTTCTCACATGCTGACATTTAGTAACTACTTTATCCCTTGGCCAAGAGAATCTAATTCCAGAACTCTCTGTATTCTCAGGATGTTCATTTGGCAAAGCAGCGATGGTCAGATATTTAGGCTTTTCTAATGTCAACGTCCTGGGTCACCAAAGGCTGTGGGGGGAGGCTTCTTTGATCTGCTGGTGAAGAGGGCACCAGCAGGCCCTATGCAGCTCAGGGAGAAGCCAGGGATGCAGACTCCTGCAGAGGGGCAGAGCGCTACTTTCTGCAAAGAGTTGCATGTCCTTTGCCAAGTGGGAAATGACAATTCTGGGATGTCACTTTTTCCTGAGGATGCTGCTGTAAGAGTTTCAAAGCCAAGCAGCCTGGTGTTTTTTTTCCCCATGCAGCAGTTTTGGGGGACCAGGATGGGCTGGATACCCACCTCTGACGTGTGCCCACAGGAAGATGCACCTGTGTACGTGAAGGATCAGCATCAGGGGCTCCTCCTTCTCTCCCTTGTCTGGAGGGGAAGCCCAACAAGCAGTTGTAATGGAACTGAAGTGAAAATAAAAGAAGGGAGAGAATAAAAAAGGTTATAGGTTTCCTGAAGTTTAGTCTCAAAATGCACTGCAACTGTGGATGGTTAGGAAACCCCAGAGGCTTATAAACCAAGCTGAGTCCTGTGAGAAACAGGGTGACTCATTTGTGCAGAGATTTCTGGCCAACCTCAACAAACAACGGAGGCCTTAGTGAAAGAGAACAGCAACAACTTCACTGTGTGGTTCTAAATGTTTTACTTCTAAACTTTTGTGTGGAAATAATAGCAACTGCTTGCAGTTTTTAAATTCATGGCTCATAATCATGTTCTCAGGAAGTGCTCCTCTAAGGAGGACCCTGAGCTCACAGGTTCTCCAGGGAAGACCCTGAAATGGTGTATGTACTCTAGGGAGGACCCTGCGCTTGTGAGTACTCCAGGGAGGATCCTGAGCTCTCATGTGCTCCAAGAAGGACCCCAATCCATGTGTATTCCAGATTATGTTTGTGTGATCCGGGGAAGATGCCGAGTTCACATGTGCTCCTGGGAGGACCCYGAGCCCATGTGTGCTCCAGGGAACTGGGCTCTGCTTCTCTGACAATCCTCTGCACGCCCGTCCCCGTCCCTGTCCTGCAGGCCCTCGCCATTGCACCAATCAGTGCCAGAAGGGGAGAATTCTGGGACTGCAGATCCTAAATTGTGACTTAATCACAAGACAAGGAAAGGACAGTTACACAAGTCGTAAGGCCACTGAAAGTCAAAACAATGACTCTTCATAAGGACATGCTGTTTGAAACCCTCCCCACCCACCAGAGCGGCTGTAATCAAGACGGTGAGTGTTGGCCAGAACTAGGAGAAGGTGGACTCCTCAGACATCGCTCATGGGAGTATGAAATGGTGTTTTCCACTTTGGAAAACACTTTGGCAGTTTCTTAACAAGTTAAAACCTGAATTTGCTATAAAACCCAGAAATTCCACTCCTAGAAATTTAAGAGAAATAAAAACATATATCCACATGAAGACATGTACACATATTCACAGAAGCAGTTATGAAAGTAGCCAAAATGTGAAGACGATCCAGATGTCCGTCACCTGATGTTTGGACAGAGGTATGTGCTCACACATGGGATGCAATGCTGCTGTAATGCAGAAGAAATGAAGTGGCGCCAGGTGTCACCCTGTGGAGAAGGCCACAAACAGTAAACCAAGTGACAGAAGCCTGGGGCAAAAGACACTGCAGTATCATCCTACTTACATGAAATATCCAGAAGAAATAAACCTGTAGAGATGGATTAGAGGTTGCCTGGGGGTGGGGAATAGGAAGCCCCACGCCAGGGCAAAAGGGACCTTTCTGGGTGATGAAAATGTTCCCAACTAGATTGAAGAATTCTGAAAATTTCCTACAAATMATTGAATTCTATGCTTAAAAAAAGGAAGTTTTATGGTATATAAACTATACTTTAATAAATCAATTAAAAACAACGATGATGACTATAACCCAGGAATCTCAACTCTAAGTTGTGGAGGACCTGGGATCCAGGAGGACCTGCCCTTGGAAGTCACATTCCCTCTTTCAGGCAAGAGTTCTAGGAGCAAGAGCCAGAGTCCTGAGTTCCTGGGCCAATGAGCGAAGGTAGCAAAGATGGGAGCCATCAACAGAGAGGAACATTGTGTGACCCTGTGCCTTTGCCGGCTGCCACCCACTACCATGCTCCCTTCGCCATCCTTTGCAGGCTCCTGTGTACCTTTGGAGTGACCTGGGACTGGCATCCAAGGCAGCAGGAAAGTGGACAATAGATGCAGTTGCCCAGCTTTGTCCATTCAGAGTGGTCAAGGATGAGCCAGAGCAGAACTCTCCCCTGTCCAGCTCACTCCCACAGCTCCAGAGACCAGACTCTGGTGTCTCAGTCCCGGCTGGTAATTCTTTTCTTCAACTATCAATGCTTTGCTAGGACACAAATAATGCATGTTGGTTGTAAATAAAATCAGAAAATCATCACAAGCCAAGAGAATAAAAAGACCATCGCTGCATGACTTCCACCTAGAAAGACCACTGTAAGCATCTTCGTGTCTCCAGACTTTTTTGTATACAACATAAGTATATGGTACACTAGSGAGCACCAGCTGAGATGGAAATACGTGGGATGCCGTGTTTGGGAATCTGCTCTTTCACTCAGTGATATCATGGACATCCGTGCCAGGCAAGACTTTCCATCTGAATGATGGAAACCCCATGAAGATTGGCTGAAGCCCCAAGGGAATTCATCAACAGAGTAACTGGAAAGTCAGGAGCCAGAGGCCATCCTAGGAACACGCCCTCCCTCCCACAGGTTTGTCTTGCCCTCCAGCACATCCCCCTGGGTGGCCCTGGCCAAAATATCCTCAGGGCCTAAAATCTCTGCCCATACAAGGCGGCTCTCTCCTAATAGCTCCAGGAAGCACCAGAACGGGCCCTGGCTCCCACTGGCCTGGTGGGCTGGGGCTGCCTGAGCCGGCTCCTGTGGTTGGGGAATGTGGAGCTGCCCCAGCAGGCTTCATCTCAGTCCTGCCCCCACTGGTGGGGACAGTGGGGACAGACCACAGAGATGAATGGTGAAGGGGTGTGAKTCCCCCGGGAAACTTGGGGTGTAGGACAAGGAGAAAGGACAGACTGTTTTCCTTGCAACTCGTCATTCTTCCACCGACAGATGAGTAAGGGTGATCTACCCAGTCCCTACTGTGCGTGTTGAGGTACTAGCGTGCTGTTGCTCTTCTCTGCCCCATTATAAAGATCCCTAACCAGTGCTGACGGGTAGCGAACCTGGTACAGCACAGGCGGCTTTGGGTTCCTTGTGGTGAACAAGCCATGCCAGCAACAGGCTCAAAGCATTGTGTCTTTCCCAGTGTCAGAAGCACACGCTCAGTCCTGGGGGTCACCCGAGACTCATGAGCAAACACAAGTTCTTTTATTCCAGTCTTAAGTTCTAATATTTATAACACTCAAGCCACACATCACACCTCACACACACATGTGCATATATGTGAGTGTGTGTATATGTGTGTGTGTGTGTGTGTGTGTATCACAGAAAGACTCTGAAAGCACAGGGTCCAGGAGGCTGAACTGAAAGCGAAGGCTTGGAGCAGGTGGGAATGCAGAGTCACTGTGGGATGCAGAATCACCGTAGGTGGTCAGGTAAGATTACAAACCGATGTTGCTCAGGGTGCAGACCTGTCAAAGTGCAGGAACTTGCTCTAGGCTAGGGTCTGGATGGTCAGCAGCTTAGAGCATCAGCTTGGAGTGGGTCACCCATGGTTGTCACAGATAGGAGACGCCTGGGCACATTTGGAAGTATGTCACTGTGGTGATTTTCCTGGGCAAGGCTTGATGAGATACCAGGTAACTGGGTCGGGGACCCCAAGTCTGGTCCTGGGGTGCTCCTCATTTTCTGGGCCTCGGTGACAAGGTTCCTTCATTCAGTGTCTGGTGTCTTGGATAAGCTCATGGGTCTGGTTTTTCTGATTTGAGTTTAGTATATTSATGCATCCGTGGACTTCTGCTAAATCAGTACGTTCACAGGTGGTCATTTTTATTAGCACGATTACTTGGTGCCAGGCAGATGGTGGTGGTTTACCTGCAAAGACCAGGTGTAGAGCTTTCCACCTCAGCTCTTAGAACGGAGGAGCTGGCGGCAAACTCCTGCTCTATAAGGTGGAGTCACCCCGGGCYTCCTTCTCCTCTCCCACGTCCCCACCTCTTCCCTCACCTCCAGGTCCTCCCTGTAAAGAACTCCCGGGTTTACYGCCTGCAACCCCCACCCAGGCATTCTCCAGACTCTGAAACACCTCCCTTCCTCACAAA